TAATAAAGCAATCGTTGGCAATTATTGAAATTCACGGCTCGCCGGCAATGTGTCGCTCGGAGCACTTCGGTTTCCTCGAAACTGTGTGTCCAACTGACAAAAATGTTTTTTTCCGTGCGTTTGTAACATTTGTGCGGCACCTGCGGCGCCCTAATGATATTCATTAATGCGATGACCTTTAGGAATTCACGATCCGCCCGGGCGCTGATGCGTACCGCGAAAAGATAAATACTTTATCTCCATTTGTAAACCGTAATTTATAATTTCTGCGAGAGGCGCTCCATCATTTTTCCAGACAAATGACGTGACAGTGTCAATTAATTTTTAAACGCGCGTGGATTTAAAGGGCATACGCCACCGCTTACGGACGGTATCAATTAATTTTTAAACAGCATGGGATTTAGCTGATATCGATTCGCTCGGAATTCAACGCAGTTGCGTTACGTGCGAAGGCGACCGACCGACAATCGCGGGATGTCAAGTGTCGCCTCCGTGCTGGAGGGAAGGAGCGGACGAAGCGCGCGCGGTGGGTGCATCCAGTACGTGGGAATGATCGTTACGTCGCGCGTTACTCGCCCTCGACGTCGATCAAGCCGACGGATTACGCATGTCCTGGCAGCTGCGCGCATCCTTCCTGGGCGTTCCGAAGAGGCCGCCAATCGGCGAAACCCTCTAATACCATCCATCCGTTGGGCTGACCAATGACAGGGCTGGGGTGTATCAGCGCGGGTGTCATCGGGCCACTCAGACCGCGCGATATTATCATCGTCGTTAAGAGGCGCCGGGAATCGGGGCGACGGCGGCGGCGGGACGGCGAACGGGAGGGAGGGTTGCGGCGGCGGGCTGCGAACGGAGGGCGGTGGCGGTTGTACGTTGGTCATCGATCCTACGACTCTGGGAATCGACGCTGCCTCAGGCGGCTTCGACCGGAATTCGAAGCCCGGTATCTGACGGACGGGGTAAAGTAAGTGGAAGAGGGCGGACGTAACAGTTTAATCCAGCCGGCAGCCATGTCCGTTGATTTCGCATATAATGCACAATATCGACGAAAAATGGCATTAAGCGCTGCTACTCGCCGATGTTAATTCAATCGTATAGCGTTTCCGTTTGCGATCCGCGAGAACGCACGAGCGCGCGTTCGTCGTGTCCCGCGACGTCTCGGAAGTGAGTCTGCAGAAAAATCATTAGTCTTCGGAGAGAGGAGCTGTGGCGCTTGAAAATGACCTCGCCTTAGAAATCGAAGAGCGCGGAAATATTCCGAGCTACCTGCCACCGCTCTTAATAGCCTCGTAGAAATGGTGGGTGCACCTTGCGCACGCTTTTTTTTCCCGTAGATTCCGCTTATCCTCCGTCGCCTCTCCATAAATTACAATTTCATCCATGAGATTAATATTTGATCGAGGTGCCGCTGCCGTGAAATCTGCGGTGTTACAGCCGTGGCAAAAAGACGACTTTTCTAGGCCAATGAAAAGGGAAGAAACGCGTTTCTAATATCTTCGATGGATCGACAGGCGGCAGCTGCATATTTTAGGCGAAATCATCGCCGAGATAAAGAAGAAGAAAAAGAAAGCGGAAATCGTTTCTATAGGCACATCTCTGCTTCATTTTTGTCTCCGTTAAAGCACTGGAAACAGTTTAAATATTAAACGGATTTTTTCATCTCTCAAATCAATTGAAAATATCCTTTTGCCTTTTAATTTTTCGTCATATTATATATAAAAAAGAAAATTGAAAGAAAATTAATATTCAGAAACCTCACATATGATTTTGTCCACAAAAGAACGTGCTTAGCCTTCGTATTTTAATAATATCCTTACACATTGGTTGGTTAATTATTACGATGATAAATATCGACGGAGAAATATGCCGATAGCGAAAACTAATATCGTCGTCAGATAAGTCCGGACGGACGCGAAGGGGATGTACGTCGAGGGTTGAAATCGCTCACCTGTCCCGAGGACGCGGGACACTTTCGTGCCGCAGCCGGGAGCCAGATACACCTTGTAACTTTCTTGGAGCATTTCGTGCGGCCATAAATTAATTTGCCGTAATGATCTGATCTCTTCCTTGTTAGGGGTCGTCCCGTCGCCGCTATTATGTCGAATCTGATAAGATAACGCGGCAACGTAATTTCGTACCCTAGTTTCCGTTTTCGAGGTGTACCTGCCGGTGGGCAATAATCATCCGAATTCGTCATCTCAATTTTTCTAACGACCCGCGCGCGGATGAGGCACATCGCGGACGAGATATCGCGACGATATCATCGGCGAAAGTGCTTCCGCCATTAATCTACAGTTTAAAGTGAAGTTCGCCTAAAATATAGATTTTATCGATGTCCTTGTGTCGACGATTACCTTTTATTTTAACAAGACCGATTCTTCTTTCGGCCGGAATTAAGAACAAAAGTGATAAAGCGGTCGAGAGACGTTCGAGAGAAACTCAGCGACATAACATTTGGACCAGTCGCAATGGGTCTGGAAACTAGTTAACAGGCGATGATCCGTGAAGAGATGCAACCTGCGCCGACATCGAGGGAGAGAGAGAGAGAAAGAGAAGGGTGCCGGAAATCAAGGGGTCCTACAATTACTCCACGGGGGGTCGTTACAGGGACAGCGGGTACAGCGGTTACCCTCGTGTTTATTTGTCATCCGACAAGCCGTAGATTAAACGCCACACAACTCGCTTGCGCGATACGCGCCAACTCATCTTGTCAACGGGAAAATTGACTCTCTATTAAGATGTGCGCGCGAGAGGCTATTTCTGTGCAAACCAACGAACTCGCAAGCATTTCGCAACCTCCGATTATCCAAAATTGCGCAAACGTGATCTAGAACGGGCCGGAGAGCGAAAATGAGAGCAGGAGGACGAGCGGCGAGGAAGCAGCACGCGAAAACCGGCCGAACTAATATTTGTGCGCGCGCGCGCACGCGTTGTATACCCGCAAATTACCATTTCTCGGGCGGGATGACTGATGGAACCTTTGGAATCGTGCGTACCGTCCATTCCCGACCTTTGCGTCCTTCGTGATCGATGAAGATTCCAAGACAGAAAGAGAGAGAGAGAGAAAGGGAGCACATTGTGTATCGAACCCGGCATTTCGCGAATCGCCCGTGGAGAGGAGATCGGTTTTTAAACAGTCGTGCCGGCTCTCGCACGAGACAAGGGATCTCTTCTGGGTATATAATTGTCGAGAAAAGGATACGCCTCTTGCGTAAGAGCTCAGCCAAGGACTGAGTCAAATTGCGCCCGGGACTCCGCGAGACGATCTTCGTGGCATTTCGATCTTCGTGGAACTCATCGGTGGGACGATCGATTGTACGGATTCTCGCGTGTCCGGACACATCCTCGCCGATTACGTCTTCTTCAAAGGGACTTGCGACGGTATTGCACAACCCTCGCCTTACCAACACCTCGTGCGTTTCGTGAGACAAGAGACAAAGAGTCCGTGAGTTCGCGCCACGCATTTAGCGCCAAAATGCGACGGCCGCCCGCCTCGTGTGCGTCCTATTGACATTGAAAACGTCACCGTTTGCACCAAGCGAGTAAAATTTAGGGCCAGACAGATTTAACGCTAAAAAAAAAAAAAGAAACGCGCGCGATTTAATGTCGCGTGAGTGAAGAGAAATATCGAACGTGTAATTATGTTTTTCTTCTCAACGGAACAGAAATTATTATTTGACTAAAAATTATTGCATTAACCGAAGAGACTAGCCAAGCGCCCAAGCGCCAGCGGGAGAGTCGTGCTTGGCACTCGCGTGCGCGTCATAGCGGAAAAGTTTCGAAGCGTTGAAAAACTTTCGACGTAACACCGCCGCATGCCGCGAAGACATAATTGTCACGCATAACGGCTCTAAGCTCGCGTACGGCATCGCAAAAAGAAACGATAAGGTGACTGATTTAAATGAAAAACAAGTGACGGCGGTAAGGCGGTAGACATGCTACAGTAAAATACGTCGCGCGCACGCTTCCGACGACGTATTTCGTTCATTTCGTTCATGTAGACATTTTTCAACTCACAATTGACGATTTGATCGAAGAAATGCCGACCGTGGCTCGGGGATCTCGTGCGGGCCCACGAAATGTACGGCCGTCGCGCGACGAATCCCGCGTGGAGACCCTTTAATTACATCCACGTTACGGGCGGAGGGGAAACGTCACGGAACCAACGTTCGGGAGAAAGGGCGGGAGGGCACCAGCGCCGACTACCCTTCGCGCGAGGCCGTGCGTGCGTGCGCAATCGCGCGGCCAAGAGCGCGCGGGCGAGCGAGCGAGCGAGAGGAAAGCGGCGGAGAAGCGCGGTAGCGCACGAGAAGAAGGAGGAGTAGCAAAAGCCCTTCGGAGGAACCTCGCGTCGAGAAGGAGGCTACGAGGGGCGAGAGCGGTAGCGGCAACGGCGAGGGGGAGAACGCGATTCTGCCCGCCCACCCCGGGCTTTCTCCCTTTTTCCCTCTTTCTCTCTCCTCGGGGCGAGAGAGCCAACCCCTCCAATCTTGCTGCCTTTCTCTCTTTCTGTCTCTCGGCGGGGGCCGCGAACTGCTCCTCGCCGTAGGCACAACCCGGGCCACGGGCCACGAGCCACGGGGCCACGCGGGCCTGCCCGACGCAACATCCAGCACGCGACGACACGCTACCGTCACCTTCCCTCCCTCCCTCCCTCCCTCGCCTCCGCTCTCTC